TTAGAGTAGTCATTAATTATATTATCATAAATTCGCCATTTTCAATACGAAATTCTGTATCTATATAATGATTGATTACCGTTTTATTTAATATTGCGGTTCGAATATTTTTTTTTCTCTGTCCTGTTGAATGTCCCATCCTGTTTTTCAATACTTCGTACGAAAGATAAAATCATATTCTTTTTTATCCATCTTAGTACATATGAAAACAAGTGAAATAAAATTATCTTAATTTTTTCAGAGTTTCAAGTTTCAACTGATGAATTGTAGTAATTAATATGAATGTTTCCTTTTGTATTCTGTTATTTCTGTAATATAATTTTGCTTTCATCATAGCTTAAATTTACAATGCAATTGATATGATTTATTGATATATGTTTTAAGTGTATTTATTTCAAAACAGCTCCACTATGAGCACAGTCGAACTGATGTGTTGACACATAATCCAAGTATTTTAAAATATGATTTCATACACAATTTGTGAATAATTGTAAATGACACATAAATCATTTGATTCAAAAACTTTCAAATAGAAATATTCACCATATTGCTTGTGGTGAAGTTCAAGAAGACAAAAGACAATAAACTACATTCAATAAAAGGTAAAAAGAAAGGAAGAGAAAATAAAAAGAGTTCGTTAGTTGGAAAAATGGAGAATGTATCACGAAACTTCCTCTTTTATGTGGCTTAAGTATGTGACAAAAAGACGCGGCGGCCTGAGCACGCGAAATATTTAATGACAAGCTTTAAAAGAATTATCTCCAATTTTTTCACTTTTGTTTTTCTTCGTTCAAAAATCAAAATGAAGTGTAAAAAATGTTTAAATTACTTTACTTTTGACATACTGTGATTAATGGGAGACACTGANAAAAAAAACACCGAACCTTTACAGAATATTCCGGGTCGTACGTTGTTTCAACGGGTCAACTCTTGCTGCCTACATATGATTTGCCAATTTAAATTCAATAGTTTTTATATAGATTTAGGATTTTATTTAAACTAATAGCATTGATAATGACTTATTTAGCACCTGGGAGCACAAAAAGTACAAAATATCTGCGGGTGATGGTGACATTGTTCAGATATAAAGTAATATATTCTTAATCATTTTAATTTTTTTTCAAAGAAACGTATAAATATAAGGTTTCAACGGATTGCCTCTGAAGGTTTGATGAAGGAAAATTGTTACTTGATATTTAGCAACTTTATTTGTGTTGTGCATAGTAAAAATCCTAGTGTAGACTATTATTATTATTAGATATCTTGGAGAATAAGTTAGAATTAAATATGATTATAAGAGATCTTGTCTTGCTGAACAAGTTAGGAATAGGGTTTAGGATCCTTATTTAAAGAACTCCATATTTATTGTTTTATTCAGTTGAATTTTGAGAACAAATCTGATATTGTGAGTTTTGTGTGTTTTACAGAGAGTATCTCGTATATCCTTCTCACTCGTACGCTTTCCTACATCTGTTGGTATCTCGTATATCATTCCCACTCGTACGCTTCCGTACGTCAGTTGGTATCAGAAGTTCTCGTATATCATTCCCACTCGTACGCTTCCGTACGTCAGTTGATATCAGAAGTTATCATTCCCACTCGTACGCTTCCGTACGTCAGTTGGTATCAGAAGTCAGCACGATTCACGAAGCTGTCGCGAAGACAAGATAAGATGCTGCAAACAACAGGCGTGTCGCCGCCATCTACAGCATGAGCCGCCGGACAGAGTGGTTTGGCCGCGAGCTCAATCCAGCACAATTACATCTCTTGTGTTCTGTTACTATCAACAATACAATAACATAGGAAATCCTATGCCGTGGGCTCCATGTTTAAAAAATCAGGTAAATGACAAAAATATTAATTAATATCTTATTCTTTCTCAAATATAATATGGAAATGAATAAATAATAGTGATTGGAATTTGGAATGAGCATTATTTCTCAGCCATTGTAAACAGTGACACGCACCAGCTGCGCCAAACATTTCTTTCTGGGCGCATATTCCCACTTGCTTTGTTGTACTTCACACATAGTACAAGGTTTTTAGTTGTGATCTGGTCTACAAGTTGATAGTACATATTCAACAAGCCACATAACTTCTAGCCAATAGAAATAATTGGCCTTATAAAAATTACTCTTGTTTGAAATGGAGCTATCTTAAGGTTTTTAAACATCATGTTGGATGAAATAAATTGTTAAAAGTGCAGTTGATGTATTTATTTATACATTTTTTTATCCAGCAAAAAAATATATTAAAATTTGAAAACATATTACATCGTGAATCAACTGATCCAACCAACCTTCTTACACACATCGATAAAGAGTCGAACATCTCAACAATCAACTACCAGAGCTTACATAGCTAATATTTTTTTAAAAAAAAAACACAATTTATGAAACACAATTTGAAAAACACAATTCAACAATCAACACCGGCAAAATTCTGAGAACCGTGGCGGAGCGCTGGTGGCGAAAAGGCTCTCTTCTTAACTTTTCAATTTGATGCTCTATTCGCTAATTTTTGAGAGAAAAAGATTATTTTAAATCATAATTCACATACAACATTAATATTTAGTGATACATTGAGGATGTTTTTGTGACTATCCTTACAAATTAGATTGACCCCCACAAAAGAATCTCATGTTTTGAAGAATAGAGCACAACAATCCCAAAACGGGTCCTAAATGTAATCCTCGTGTTTTTCATTATTAGATCAATATATTCGCACATATACATTCACATAAGTATATGTTGGTCTAATTGTGAAAACTTCGAAAACCTCAATAACTGTACTACAAATACCGATAGCGTAAAATCTACTCTAAAAGGAAAGAGTTATGTAACTTTGTGTGATCAATGTGATTTGAGAAATAAATAATTTAGTTAAATTCATAAAAAAAAATGTAAAAATAAGTGAGAGATCACTGTAATGGCGTTGCCCACGTGTCTCAAACACAACACAATCGGTTATGACCCGAACTCGAAGCAGATCAAGATCAGAATTTGTATCCACCCAAAATATGTCCACAGGCCCACTGGACTGTGAGTCCTTACTGTGCCCAGAAGACACCACTTTCCAATTTTGTCCCTACATTCCTATTTTAGCCCAAATACCTTCCACTACCCAGTACAAAGGTGAGATGAGAACACATATGATTGAAAGATTTCTTGTAACAGGAGAAATTTCAGCAACAAAAATCCATCACATTATCAGTATGTTGCTCAAGCACCACATAATTGAGATTTCCAGAACACAATAAATTCAAAACATTAAATAGTCCCTTTGGGCCCAAATTAGCCGGCAACCTATAAGTATCGAAATAAGCAAGTGCACAGCTTGTATTACATTAAATAAGTGGA